GAATAAATCAAATGAAAAAATAGAATGAAAATTGTTATTTCAATGCATTCTCATTGTCATTCTTAGTCAAGAGATCTGAATGTCACTCAATGCTTTATTTTGCATAAAAATGTGTATTAAAAAAAAAATGTACTAATGGGTCGACGATCTGTTCGGTTGCTATGTTCGATATTCCAGAAACGTGAAAGGCGCGCAAACTGCAATTTGGTGGAGCTGGCCGTTATCCTCTTTGATGTCCCTGGGACTGTGTTTTTCTGGCCTGGCGATATACACGAAATACCGTGACTGCGACCCTCTTCAGAGCGGAAGGATCAATTCGTACGATCAATTAATGCCGCTTTACGTGATGGACATGCTCTCCGCGTATCCAGGTGTGCCCGGGCTATTTATAGCCGGAATTTTCAGCGCTGGTCTCAGCACCATCTCCGCCACGGTCAATTCCCTTGCTGCCGTTATACTCGAGGATTTCATCAAACCTCTCTGTCGTCTCAGGTAACTCGTACTTTTTCAATTCCTCAATTATTCAATTTCGCTATTCTATTTAATTTTCTATGAATGTAATATGAATTATTGAAGACTATCGCCAGAATTTTATAAAAGGAAGTTGCGATTGTCTGTTTGATCTGAAAATCTACTCGACGGACTTTCATTCCGTTTACACAGTTGATTCGTTTTTCGAGAAAGTGCGTATAAGTAATAGCGACTGTCTCTGGTGATTAACATTATTTCAGGGGCACGGAGATTACCACGACCGGATCGATCATCACCAGCAAGATTCTGGCTGTCGCGGTCGGCGCCGGTTGCATAGCATTGGCGTTTATAGGACACTACCTTGGCGGTCTCCTTCAGGCGGCTTTGACGATTTTCGGTGTGGTCGGTGGACCCGTATTTGGCATGTTCACTCTCGGCATGTTCACGCGATCGGCTAATCAGAGAGGCGCGATCATTGGTTTGCTGATTAGTCTCGTTTTCTCTCTGTGGATCGGTTTTGGTCAGCCGAAGCCACCGATCCCAAACAAAGTGCACGTTTCCTCACCCAACTGTGGTAACGCGACTGCGTTTTACGACTACCAGGAACCGTCCCATTTCGAATACCAGTAAGAAGTTTGATACTCGCTTACTATAGCTCTTTGATAAACGTGAAAATACGATGAAATCATCTTTGATTAAACTTTAGAGCGACGGCGTTAATTATGTAAAAACGCCTTTAAGAATTCATATTTATGTGCTTATAATTATTGAATTCAATTAAGTCTATGAAATTGACCAAAGAATTGTTCGTTACAGGCAACGTAGCAGTGACTCATATTTCTACTTATACCGCATTTCGTACATGTGGTACTGTCCCTTGGGAAGTGCGATCAGTTTCCTGGTAGGATGGATCGCCAGTTGGATTTCGAATCTGAAATTTGGAAAGGAATCACGAGAATTGGAACCTGACTTATTCGTGTCGATTCTGGCCAAAGAATTACGCAGAAAAAGATTGAAAAATACAAACGAAGTTCATAGAAACGGTGCATTAGATACGATCTCATAATTTTTTTATTATATCAGAGATTGTTAATTTCGAGTTAATTGAAAACTGATTAAGAGACACGTGCTACGATCAGAGTGAAGCCACAGTATGAAAACGAACCAAGGATACGTTGTAACGGATGGAATAAAAGTGGTACAGCTACAGTGAGACACGGCATGACCAAACGAGTCGAAAAGAATCTGTGATAGAACGAGAATAAGTCGGATCAAGAGACACACTTCGAGTGGCGCAAGTATATAGAGCGAGGCACGGTACAGAGGAAACGAGACGAAAAGAATGCATGATGGAACGAGAATAACTCGGAACGGATGGTAGTAGTCGTGATATTGCTCGGTTCCTCTCGGAATTCCGAGTGGCTACTATCGGCTGAATGTTCTTCTTCTTCGGGTCTGCAATGAGGAGCAGACGTAAACACCGACGCCGAGGCACGGGTGTGCTGAACGTTTACCGAAACGTTCGCAAATCACGATGGAATGCCGTCAGACTGGTGTTCCCGTGCGCGGCACACGGTGACATACAGAACGAAGCAACGACCCGTGCACCGTCCGCCGCTTACGTAAGGAAAGAACGTCGACTACCACGAGCTTCGTTTCGACTACCGAAGCCGCGTTATTCAGTAGGCGAACGGAATGCTTTTAACTTGCAACGCGTACATCTGCGCCTGACCTCTTTCAAATAAACTGTTCTATCTCGCAAATCTGATTCACTGCTGTAGAGTAAACCTAAGTCTCGCTCACCGATTTTCAGGGACACTGACACAGAAATGTGTACGTTCAATCTTTTTTTTTTAATTAAAATTGTTCCGTGTGAGAAAATAGATTAGTCGTAATAAAAAAATAATTAAATCGATTGATTCTGTATCGATCTGAAAGATTCGATTTTTATCTTCTAGAAATTTATAAGTACTCATTTCGAGGCTCGATGAACACTTTTCATTGAAACATTATTAAAAATGCCCGATAAAATGAAACATTTAATACAGTTGAGTTGAGTCCTCTAAGAATTATTACTTTCGAGTAATAATTGGAATCTATGAAACTGGATTATTGAAATTGTGAGTACCACCCTTATGAATCACTGTTTGATTGCTAACAGTAGTTATAGTAGATAGACTCTATTGAAATTTTCAACGAATAAAGACGGTACGAATAGCAGTTGTTTTACTTGGAAATCGACGGAATTGATAGTCGAGTAATTTGGTTATTCCTAGTAATGTGGCTCCCGTTGTTCGGTTCTTGATCTTACCCGGAGCGGTCTATTACCCGTTCACTCTAATCGAGTTCGCGAGAGGAGAAAAAAGAACGGGAATATTAACCGGATTCTTTACGAGCTCAATCAGCGGAAATTTCTAAGCTTATGGCAGAAAATGCCAGCCGTTTCTCATTCATAAACGCTCGACGGTGAGTGCTGCTCGCCGAACGCTCTCAGCCATAACGCATACCGAAGGTTTTATGAAATAATTGTAGTCATGCTGTCGTCGCGATTCTCGTCAGATTTACAGTGTACTTCTTCAAGTACGACGTTGTCAAAACTGTTTGATGAATCTCTCTCTCGCGGATTAAAATATTCCTTGGATTTGTTTAAAATTAAATCACTTTCTCTGATCTCTCGAGAGTCTTAGCTCTCGTGTGATATCCTACTTTCGTATCAGCATGATTTACATAAACTTTCGAACGTCGTTCGAAGAATCGTCCTTCGAATCACACATTTTACTAAATTGCTTCTTCCAGTATATTAAGAATAAAAATAATAAGAAATTGTTTTTATTTTGACGCCTCAAAATTATGTTAAAATCCAACAGCATCGATGCCAGGTTGAGCATTGAAAAAATAATTCGTAGAACGATAAAATGAATAGAACGATAACGTAGAAAAATAATTCGTTAATTTTTTTAAATTGGTTCCCTTAGGGAAACTAACACGTGTAGAACGATAATATGAATAGAACGATAACGTAGAAGAATAATTCGTTAACTTTTTTAAATTGGTTCCCTTAGGGGAAACTAACACATGCACATAGCTGGCTCAATTTCATTGTTAGGAGATCGAAGGATCGAATCAAGAAGAGTTTTATCTGAAACAGTGAATCCAGAAATTTGAATAAAACAAAAATTGATTTAATGATAATTTAAATTCATCGCGTTTTATTAAATTACTCGGTTTGAAGATTAGGAAAAGAGAAAGAATGGAAAATGTCTCGTTCCCATGTATCGCAATCTATGAACAATAGTCTCGTAATACTTATCCGACTGAAAAAAAAAAAAACCCGAGGAGGAGCGTGTATCGCCGCGGATGTGACTCGTCTAATGTACACAGGCCGTAATTAAACGAAATAATCGAGTAGCGCGGAGTTGTATCGCGGCGTTCTCATTATAATGCCGCGCATTCCACCAAGGAAACGAGTCCCTCTCTCACCACGTATACGTATACAGACCGTCCGCACGGAATACGGAATGCACGAATGATGGATTACACGCAAATTCACGCTTCTTACGCTCCCGGTCCTCTCCGTACACTACCGTTCCATTTTAATTATCGCTTGTAATCACCGGGCAGCGCGCCGCGTTTTTAATTACTTCAACTTCAACTTTAATGCGCCGGATACGCGAAAAGAGCAACAAAAGGCTGTCGTTATTAACCAACGCAGCGGCACGTTACGAGGAAAAGATCGGTCGGAAAAGGAAGATCGGTAGAAAAAAAATTCGTCACAGACAAAAATTTGCAAGAAATTCGATGGATATTTTCCTTTTTAGAAAATTGTTAATAATTTCTAAATAA